AACCATGCTGTGCTTGGACTTCTGCAGGGCCTGGAGAACAGCATCGTGCCACTGGGAGCGGAGGGTGCCCAGCAGCTCACGCTGCATGGAAGAAGAAGTAAGAGAGCTGGTCAGCTGACCACCTCTTCAGCCCACGGACCCCCAGTCTCTCCCACAGGTCCCAAGGGCTGCAGTGCCCCCCTGCCCCCAGACCTCTTGAGCTTTACCGCTTTGACAGCCTGCGGGGTTGGGGGCTTGGCTGCCTCCACTGACTCGATGGTTATGGTGTTGTTCAACTCCATCTCCAGCTGCTGCTGGAAACGCTCCTGCAACTCCTCCACAGAGAAATCCAGCTTGGGGTATGACACCACCTTTTCCTGAAACAAGTGCAAGGCACTATGTCATGCTCATCCTCCCAGCTTCCCTCCAAGAGGCTTGTAGAACAAGTCCAGACGTCTCTAGCTGGTAAATCCCACAGGCTGCTCTGCTCTTGTGTCATGGTCAAGCACCTCCCCAAACAGCCCTTCTAGCACATAAAGGTCACCTCCAGGCCCCTGCCAGCCCTTGGCTTCACTCTTCCTCTGTAAGGCTGTTGGTAATATCATCCATTTGATGATTTGTGTGGGCTATTGAGCAAAGACCATGCTAAAAATGCTTCCCTTATAGAGTCCTGAGCTGGACCTGAGGACACCTGTGAACATCACCTGGCCAGCTCCAACACCTCCCTGAGCTCTGTGGCTTACTTTGGAGTAGAAGTCCTGGAGCAGAGCAGACTTGCAGGTCTGGGGCTTGGGTGGAGGGGGCAGCTGGTAGTCGGGCAGGACAGTCCTGATGGCCCTCAGAATCTTCTCCTTCTCATCTTCCTCAAACAGGCACTTTTGGAAGAGCTCATCCACGTGGAAGCCATCGCTCTTCAGCTGCTCCAGGTATCTGAGGAGGGGCAGACAGGACAGGCTCGATCTTCCCCAGGGGCCTGAGCCTGCTGTGCAGGAGCTGCTGGGGCGGGATTTGCCTCAGCACAGCCAGTCCCACAAGGTCACCCCCCTCAGGTTACAGGGATCAGGTGTCCATCTCTCAGCCTGCACCACTGTGGAGCCCTGGCCTGGGCAGGGAGGCCGAGCTCCAGCTGCTGTGGGACCGTGCTGCCCACGGGCAGCCCCACGGTGTGTGCTGCACTGACACAACTCCCACACCAGGCAGGACGGGCACTGCCAGCCCCCTCAGAATCAGCTGACTGAAGATATTCACTTGGAGGCATCTAGAACTTGTCAGCCAGCCAAAGGACACAGAGGCCAGCGATACATCCCCAAGGTGTTTGTGCAGCACCAGCGGATCAGCAGCTCTCTCCATCCTCTGTCGGGGAGCTGGCTGTGCAGCCAGCCCCGGGCACTGCCCCTAGACCCAGTCTGTGGGATCTCACAGGGCTCCTTCAGCTCCCTGCTTTGGCCTGACACTTTCCTGCCCACTGTGCTCCGTGAGATCCACCTGAATCTCCTGAGCATGCTCCTTCAGAGAGCCCTGTGGGAACTGGCTATCTGGCTGAGCCTGCCAAGAAGGGGAAACTGTACGGAAGTGCCGTAAAAACAGAGGAGCCAAGCCATTCCCACCAGGCAACGACAGAGAGGCCAGTGGAAGCGAGATGCCCAGGATGGGTGGGGAATCAAGGAGTCCCTGACTGGAGAGGGGCTCTCCCAGCCCAGCTCTGGGGAGAGAAGCAGCTGTTCTCACCTCCCACATCTCCTCTCCCTGCATGATCTCAGACAAACTCCCCAGCAGCTGAGGGTGGCAGGGAGGGTGCTGCAGGAGCTCTGCCCACCCCAAAACGTGGCCACGAGAAAATGGTCAGAGCATCCAGGTGTGCACGCAGCAGGGGCAGCTCTTCCCAGCCCCAGCCCCACGTGTCTCCCAGTTCTCCCAGCACAGGCTGTGGAGCTGCTGCCCCAGGGCTCAGCGGCACCTGAGGCAGGTGTTACCTCCAGATGGCCTCGGGGGACGACTGGTTCCGGCCCATGCACTGCAGTGCTGCTGCGTAGGAGTCCAGGCTGGGCCGCAGGCCGACGGACTCCAGCACGGAAAACAGCTGGTCAATGTGCTGCAGGCAGCCCTGGGGATGAGAAGGGAAAGGGGCTGCGGATACACCGACACCAGTAGCCCCAAAATCATAGCTTCACGCCCCTCTACTCCTATTTAGACTCAGTCACCTCTACCCATTCCCTTCCCCATCCCCTTCTTCCCCTCAAAGCCACCTCACAGGGATTCGTGGCCTCATGCCAGCTTTGTTCCTCTTGGCAGAAGCCAAGTGCTCCCTGAACATTTGCTGAAGGCAGGTGTGACAACTACAAGTAAAACCATGACCAGCTCAAGGCTCTTCCTCCTGAGCTATCCCTTCTCCCACCCAGAGCACCCGTGGCTCAGTACCTTCCTGGCCCAGCAGCGCATCACAATGTTGTAGGCACTGACATCCAGCAGCTTCTGCTTCACTGGAGATCTGTGGCACAGCATGAGGATCCGCTCAGCCTGCTCCGGCTGCTGCAGGAACAGGAAGCACTCCAGGGTGGACTGGATGGTCTCCTTGTGCTGGCTGCTGTCCTTGTCCTTCAGTGCCCTCCGAGGCCTCTCCAGCTTCACACCTTCCTTCACTGCCACCACCCTGGGCTTGCTGTGGCTGTAGAGGCTGTGGGGGCTGGTGGAGCTCTGGCTCCAGGCAGTGGCTGCTTTCACCTTTGGAACTTTTGAGGTCTTCAGGCTTTTCATGGGTTTTGCTTTGGGTTTGCCTTTGGCCTTTATCTGGGCCTCTGCCTTGGCCTCTGCCTTGGCCTTTGCCGTGGCCTTGGCCTCTGCCTTGGCCTTTGCCGTGGCCTTGGCCTTTGGCTTGGCCTCTGCCTTGGCCTTTGGCTTGGCCTCTGCCTTGGCCTTTGCCTTGGCCTCTGTCTTGGCCTTTGCCTTGGCCTCTGCCTTGGCCTTTATCTTGGCCTTTGGCTTGGCCTCTGCCTTGGCCTGGCTTCCCAGATCCAGCTGGGAGGCAGCCATGGATAACTTCCGCTCCAACTTCAGCTGCTGGATGCACGTCTCCTTGTGCAACATCTCGACCCAGCTGTGGGGCCGGTCTGGGCACCACCCTGCCCTGGGAACTGGCTGCTCCTGTGTGGGGCCAGAGGCCATTGCCTTCTGCAGAGGGTTCTGGTGCTTGTCATTGCCCAGCGGGGCCAGCTCCACCTTGTTGACTGTCACCTCTGGGGCGTCACTGCTTTGGAGTTGCTTTGCTCGAGCTTTGAGCACTGGAGGGAGACAGAGAGAGGTGATGGGATGCAATGCAGAAGGTTCTGTCCTGCCCTGGGCCTCACTCTGGGAGTGCCAGGAACGTGCTCAGAAAAGAGGATCCACACAAGGACTTTATCCCCCCTTGGCCAGCCCCACTCCCAGACACAGATTCTGACCACTGTCTCTCTGGGATCCACCTGCAGGTTGGGGCCTATCCCAGCATCTCAGGAACCCACCCCAGCATCCCGAGAACCAAGCTGTGGCTGGTCTGACTGTTACCTGCTCACTGCAGCTCTCCCAGCACTCACCTTCCAGCAGCTCCGTCCTCTCGCAGGTGCTGTTCCTGTTCGCCTTCTCCTTGGTGCTGGCGGATGAGTAGCTCCTGAGGACGCTCCATGGAACCCCTGCTGCGGAAAAACACGAAGGTGCAGGGGGTCAGAGGAGGCTTCACCCCTCAGAGCGCTCCCTGCCCCCAGCCCCGCCCTACGGTCAGGGCCCAGCTGGGCACAGAGGTGAAAGTGAGCGAGTGGCTTTTCTCAGCTCAGCTGCCCCAGAAGCAGCGCCCGAGGGCCGCAAGGGGCAGGAGGGACAGGGACGCCCCTCACTCCCTAGATCCGGACGCTCGGAGGGAACGCGACCCCAGGGACACCACGAACTCCAGCGCTGCGAAGGGGGTGGCAGGACCCTCAGCATGGGCAGCGCTACCCCACAGCTGGGACGGGACCCAGAACCCTCCCGCTCCTGTTCTCTGGAGAGAAACAACATCCAGCACCTCCACGGTCCCGCCTCTATCCCTGGGGGCCTCACGGCGCAAAAACACCCTCTCAGCCCCCAGCTCTGTCCCAGTGGGGAGGGCCTGGGAGGGGGCAGGAACGCCGCGGCCCGCAGCTGCGTCCCGGGGGATGCTCCGGGACCGAGGGCCCCCTCAGCCCGGCCGGGCCCTGTGCCCGCCCCTGCCCGAGCCCCGGTGCCCGCGCTCACCGGGCCCCCTCAGCCCGCCCGGGCCCCGCAGCGCCGCCCGCAGCCGCAGCAGCGCCATCTCCGCGCCGCGCGCGCCGCCCCGCACCGCGCATGCGCCGCGGGGCCAGTGCTGCCGCGCGGCACGCCGGGAGCGCGAGTCCTGCTCCGCCGAACCACAACTCCCATGGTGCACCGCGGCCGCGCCACCGCCCCCCCCATTCCTTCCCTCTCCCCCCCTCCCGCGCCCCCTGGCGGCCGTGACGGCCCCGACGGGGCGGGACCGGGACACGGGACACGGCGGGACCGGGACAGGCGGCACCGGGACACGGCGGGACCGGGACACGGCGGCACCGGGACACGGCGGGACCCGGAGGGACGGCGGAGTCCGGGACATGCCAAAGCCTGCGGGGGCGGCGAAGCCCGGGACACGGCGGCAGAGCGCGGGGGCGGGGGAGTCGGGACACGGCGGAGCCCCGCACCCCTCACGGCCCGAGCTCGGCGCTCTTCGGTCGGGACCGCAGGCATACACCTCTACCCCCGGGTCCGGGACCACATCTCTCCCCCGACACTTTCCCCGGGGCACCCGTTTCCTGCCCACCCGTCACCACCATCGGTGGATAGTGGAGCGTGCGGTCCCCAGCCGGGTGCCCCAGGGCAGCCGAGTGACCGCGGCCGATAACCCGGGGCTGCCGTCGGGGCGCGGATTTATGAATGAGAGGCCCCGCCCCCGGCCCCGCCTCACCCCTTGGCCACCGCCCCTCTCGGGCCGCCCCTCCCCGGCCTCCCGCGCCGTCGGGGCCGGTCGCCGGTCGCGGCCGCGGCGATGGCCCGTCGCCTGTCGCCCGCCGCCCGCCCGCCGCCCGCCGCCATGAGGCGCGGGGGCCCCGCTGCCATCGCCGCCTGCCTCGCCGGGGCTCTCGCTGTGCTGGCGGGACCGGGGCCGGGCAGTGCCACCGGGACCGGCCGGCGACCCCCCCGCAGCTACGGGCACCTGGAGGGCGACGTGCGCTGGCGGCGACTCTTCTCCGCCACCCGCTTCTTCCTGCGCATCGACGGCGGCGGCGGCGTGGAGGGGACGCGCTGGAGGGAGCGGCCGGGCAGTGAGTGTGGCCGGGGCCGGGGCCGGGGAGAGCCGGGGCCTGGGGCCGCCCCCCGCGGCTGCCCCTCGCCCACGGCGGCGAGAGCCCGATACCGCCGGGTGCCGGGGCTGCGGCAGAGGCGGGCGCCGCCGGGGCGGAGGCTGGACGGGGATGCCTCGGGACGGCGACGGGACCCTCCGTGCCCGGCCCGGAGATCGCCCGCAGCTCCTCCCGCTGGGGGAACCTCAGCCAAAGCGCCTCCTCCTCTGGGGGCGCGGGAGCGGCGGGAGCTACTGTCCCCTCCGTCCCCGCTGTCCCCTCCGTCCCCGCTGTCCCCTCCGTCTCCGCTGTCCCCTCCGTCCCCGCTGTCCCCTCCGTCCCCGCTGTCCCCTCCGTCTCCGCTGTCCCCTCCGTCCCCGCTGTCCCCTCCGTCCCCGCCGGGCGGGACACGTCACTCCTCGAGTACAACCTGCTCCGGCTGCCCTCGCCCCGGGAGCTCCTTCCCGAGGCTCGGCCGCCGCTGCACCGTGGGAGCCGTGAGAGGGGCGCGGAGGCCGGCGGGCACTGTGTGGGGACCCGGCATTGCTGGGGTGACCGGGGGAGGGGTGTTGGTCCCTTGTCCCATCTCGTCCTGCCAGCGCAGGCATAAGGGCATCCGCCTGCCCCGCCTTCCGCGTGGACTGAGGGGATCTGATCTATCCCCGCAAACACACTGAGGAGGATAGAGGCTGAGGAGGAGGGACTTAGGAAGCTTCACGGTGATGCTGGTCCCAGAACGGAGCATCCCTCAGGTGCAGGAGAGTAGAGCAACCCTGTTGGACGGGACCACTCCACAGCCGCTGCCTGTGGAGTGGTTTGGGGCTTGGCACGGGGATATCTGGGTGGGCAGAGGGGCAGAGTTCCCAGAGTCCCCAAGGACTTGGCACCCATTGTATGTTCTTCAGCAAGAGTCAGGGCTGCAAGCATCCAGGTTTCAGCCCATCTGGGTGGGGAGTCTCAGCCCCTGTGACAGGGAGAGGGCACTGGGTTGGCGGAACAGTGGCTGGATGGGAGGGGCCTTGGGAAAGGGGGATGCCTGAGCATCCCTGGGGTGCCCTGGCAGGGTGTTGGGGCTTGGGGCAGGAGGGATGCAGTACCCCCAGCCCACGTCCTGGTCCTGTCTCCTGGCCAGCACAGGATGAAGGAGCCCAGGTCAGCCCAGCCCAGCCCAGGGAACCCTCCTGTGGTGTCAGAGGCTGTTGGGAGTCCCGACCAGGCACGTTGCCAAGACAAAGCACCCCAACACGTTCCCTTGGCTGGGCGGCCATGGGGCCTGGCAGGCAGAGCAGCCCTGGGCTGTTGCACGGGGCTCACTCTGCTTATCTGTGTGCCTGGGCTGGGCTCCCCTCCACAGCCCTCGCAGAAGCTGCTGGACCAGCCCCACTGGCAGCTGCAGGCTGGCGGGGGATCTCCCAGGGACTCCCCTACCTCAGGCCCTGCTTCTGCCCCAGCCTGCTCGGGACCCCTCTGGTGGCTGAGAGTGTGAGACTGGGGGCACTGGGAGCTGTCTCTGGGCAGGCGCTGGCCAAGCACTTGCAAGCAAATCACGGCAGAGCCGGCCAGGGCGCTGGGGACAGCAGCGGGGGGTTATTTTTAGAAAAGCACAAGTCCTTTCTTATAAATAGCATCAGCTCCAGACTGTGATCCAGCAGGACAGATTCACAGCTCTTCTCCTCCACTGCTGCTCATCAGTGGCTTCACTGGGCCCGGCCCTGCAGATGCTGGCAATGCCGGGGGATTGGCGCCTGGTGAAAGCCCCTGCCCAGGGGCTGCAGCCCCCCACACTGTGTGTGCCACCACCAACCAGAGCCTCTGTGTGTCCTCCCTCCCTGTCCAGCCGGGGCAGTCCCTGCAGTGGTGCCCATGGGCAGATCCTGCTGTGGCTCCTGCCCTGCCCCCTGCCCTGCCCGCTTTGCTCCCCCTGGAGATTCCTTCTCCCCTTTCCACTGTGCCGTGTGCCTGGTGGGCAGCAGGGCGGGCAGCAGCACTCCGGGCTGGCTGGCGTGGGGCAGTGCAGGAATCCAAAGCCCTGATGATGCTCTGGGTGTTTCCCATGCCAGAGCCTCTGGTCTGACCACATGCCTTTCCCATTAGCGGCCGTGCTGGAGCTCGGCGGTCGGGCACACACACGCCAGCCCAGCTGTGGCTTCACAGCCTGGCTGCAGCCACCTCCTGGGCTCATCCTGCAGCACTGCTGCATCCTCCAGCCCACAGTACTGGGCACAGAGCTGTGTATGCTCGCTTGTGCCAGCCGGGCAGTCAGCACCAGCAGCCTCGGGCAGCACCATTCCAGCCCCATTCCTGCCCCCTCACGCCTCTGCCCACGTGCCTCCATCCACCATAACACAGGGTGCGCCCTGTGTGTGCCACCCCCGTGCACACTTTGCCCCTCCAAGGGCTGTGCCAGCCTCGATGCCCTGCATGTGTCAGGGCCAGGCACTGAGGGGGGCAGGTCGTGTCCCTGAGGCACTACAGGCCCACTGGGGACAGATGGGTTTGCAGAGCTGCCAACGAGGGGAGGACACACACGAGGTTGGCACTGGGCAAGTGGAGGTTGTGCTTGGCATTGCTCCCATACAGCCCAGCTCCTGGGAAGCAGTTGGACCCTGGGGAGAAGAGTAAAGATCAAACCCTCTCTGGATCAGAAGTTCCCCCTCCCACTCCCAGCTTGTGCCGCAGCTCTTGTTCCCACTGTCCCTCTGGCTGCTCCTGCTGTGGGCAAGGATCAGCAACCCCATCCCTCTGGGGGGACACTGTGGCCACAGCCCCAGGATCCCTGGCTCATGCTGGGCCTCCCTGTCCCACAGCCATCGTCGAGATCCGGTCGGTGCGTGTCGGCGTCGTGGCCATCCGGGCGGTGCACACCGGCTTCTACCTGGCCATGAACAAGCGGGGGAGGCTCTACGGGTCGGTAGGTCGGACGCTGCCTCCTGGGAGGGACTGCACTGGGGTCAGAGGTGCAGGACAGAATTGCAACAGGGGGTCCCAGACCTGCTGGGACCGGTGCCCAGGAGCAGGGTTCTGGTTTTCCATGCCCTGACATGCTCCCCAGCAGGGACCGAGCCCTCTGACCCCTGGGGACACAGGGTCCTGCCCGGCCCCACCTGGGGTCCGAGGGACCCCAGCCAAGCACAGCCACCCTTCACCCCCTTCCCTCTCTGCCAGAAGGAGTTCAGCCCCAACTGCAAGTTCACAGAGCGCATCGAGGAGAACGGCTACAACACCTACGCGTCGCTGCGCTGGCGGCACTGCGGCCGCCCCATGTTCCTCTCCCTCAACAGCAAGGGCAGGCCACAGCGAGGGGGCAAGACACGCCGGCAGCACCTCTCCACACACTTTCTCCCCATGCTTGTTGGCTGAGCGCCACAAGCAGCTCCGGACAGTCCTGTAGGAAAAAAAACAAGAAAGGATTCTTTTATTTATGTACATATCTATTTTTTGCTATTTATTGCTTTATTTTTAATGCATGGTGGAGGATGGATGCAGAAGGCAGATGCTCCAGACTTGGCTTTGCAGGGCTGGGGCTGTCCCGCCATCCCACCGGGGCAGAGCTGGCGTGGCACAGCTGGGGAGTGTGGCCACCGCGTGCCAAGGCCAAGGGCGTGCCTGGAGCAGGGCCTGGGGTCTGCTAATGGCATCTCCGCAGGGCTGGGATGTACCAGCCGGTTGTCTGTGTTCGAGCACCCATGGCAATTAAAGCTGCGTTCATGGTATGGAACAGGAGCAGGTCTTGGAGCTTTGATGGTGGACTTGGCTTGGGATGGGAGGGATTGGCTTCCCTGAGGTCGTGGCTGCAGCCCCCAGTGTCATCCCTGCTGCCACCAGCGGGGAGCGTGGCTGGTCCCCTGCCACATCGAGTTCTGCATCGAGAACCCCACAGGAAAACAGCAATGATGGTTCAGCAGCACAAAGGAGGGAGCAGGAGGAGCAGAACCAGGAGCCAGCCTGGATCCTCAGGCAGACGCAGCCCCAGGGCTGTCCCTGGCTACAGCCCATGCTGGTCTTGCAGCCCAGCTTCACACCATCATTCCCAGCAAATATGGAGCTGGGACAGTGGACAGTGACAAAGACCAGCCCCTCGCCTGGAGGGGAGCACGGCCAGGAATAGCACCCACACCTCAGCTTCCCAGCCAGGGCACATCCCTGCGCCACCCTCGCACCCGCCGTGACCAGGCCCAGCAGCCCGGTCACCGTCACGTCACACAGAGCAATGGCCCCAGCAAAAACCACCAAACTTGTTCCATTTCCGACCCAACCAGCTCCAAACGACTCTGAAAGGGAACACCACCGTGTTAACTGTGTGGTGACTGTGGCACTGGCCCCAAGCCCCTGCCAGGCAGGTGGCAACTGCCACACACCTACCTGGGGCTTTGCTTTGCCCACTCAAAACCCACCCAAGCGCTGCTGACAAGTGAGAGATCACCCTGAGCAACAGGGGAGCCAGCAACCCCTGCTGTAGCAGAAACATGGTGGGAGAGGGAAGGTTTTTCCAGGTTAGGTGACTAAACAGCAAAGCCTTCCCTTGGTGCTGGGCCAGCCGATGGACTCACGCAGGTTCAGCCAGGACCTTCTTGCTGCCACCCACTTCCCCAGACCAGGCTCCTGGCTCAACCCTCGGCAGAGGATGAGCCATTAACCACGACACACCAGTCCTGAGATAAACCCTCATCCTGTGAGATGAAAGGCGCCGCTGTGCTGCCCTGCCAAGCCAAGGAGGAAAAACAGTCCGGGCGAGTCGCTCTGTGTCAGCTCCTGGCCCCGGCAGAGCTGCTGCCACCCACCCCGGGGACACTTTCTCCAACAAATCAACTTCTTGTGTTCTGAAATGGCTCAAAAATGGCCAAATCAGCCACTGGCCTCCCCCCTCCTATAGGATCTTGTCCCTTCCCAGGAAGCTCTTGGGAGGAAGGGTCAGGTCTGGGGTGAATCTGCTCTGGAAGAGACACCCAAGCTCTGCTGGCACCAGCACCTTCCCCAGCTGTCCCAGCCCACTCCCAAGGCCCCAAGAGCCAGGGGAAGAGGCAGGGAGCCCCCCAAACTGCCAAACCCTCTGCCCACCCCCACAGGGGCACAGTCCCCCTCGCCTGCTCTGGCCTCTGCCACAGCACGATCCCGATGCGCGGCTCCATCGTGGACCCTGGCCCGTCAGGAGATCTGCTGCCTGCCCCAAGTCCCTGCGAGGGGAAAGGGCTCCTGGTGACAGAGGGCGAGAGCACCAGGGCTCTGGTCCTCTCGTGCCTCCAGGCCTGGGGAGCAGGGACATGGCAGGGAGCGACTGCCCACACCGGTCGCATTCTTGTCATTCTCCAAGCTCCAGCTCTGTCACAGAAACTGAGTCACAAACATACCTGGGTATTTTTCTCTCTCTCCTTTTTTAATCAGCTCTATTTTAAGTAGTTTTGCAATACATTTTTCTCAAAAAATGTTGTTTTCCTGGTAATTACTCAGTCACAACGAGATTTGCTGGTCCTCGCTCTGCTGCACACCCAGTCCTGCGTGGGCCCAGCGGAACAGCCCGCCCCGGCTGCGAGGGGGGCAGGACTGCAACACAGAGATGTAAAAAATAGAAAAGACCAGGCGAGGATGCTTCCAGATGCGATCCTTGGTCACTGTGCAGTGCCCTGCAGGCTGGCAGCGGCTCCCACCAGAGCCCAGAGCTCCCAGCACGTGGGAGGGCTCCGAGAGGCCCAGCCTGCCCGGGGGAGGTGGGGTGGCTCGGCGGCCTCGGAGCTTACCCTGTAGCTCTCCTCAAACCATGCATAACGGCTCGCAGAGCTGAAATGTCCATTTATTGACAGCAGTAATAATTTAAGATTATAAAAACCCTTTCAGTGTTGAGTATCAGCGGGCGAGGTTATAAAGAAAAATAAATGGGACTCGAGATGGGACAGGGAAGGATCCCGGGGTCTATTTGAGAGTTCCTGTTTCAGTGAGAGCTACTGGTCCTCCCCAGCTGAAGATCCTGGAGGGGAGGCAGCATCCTTACGCTTCCATTTTAGACTTCAATCTCCAAAGCAGAAAAGAGAGTATCCAAGGGGAGGAGGAGCAAAAGAAATAAAAGAAAGGGATCTCAAATTCAAACCCATACAAACAACCTTTCCTTTTGGGATTCAACCACTCGCTCAGCACCTCGGGGTTCCCAGCTGGGAGCGCGGCAGCCTCGCACTGCAACGGGTAAAGTCCACGCACAGAGGATGTTTTTATTGACAGACAGAGCTCTTTCCCCCCTTTTTCATCACAGAACTTGAGGCTTCTCATCTCTGAAGGACCCAGAGTCTCCGTGTCTTCAGAAATCAAAAGAGAATTCTGGGGGCACTGCTCCCCCCTTGTCCCCTCCCCTCGCTCTGCTCTGGAAGCCCCTTTGGCTGCTTGTGGTGGCCAGGGAGGGAGGGGGGACAGTGGAGGGGGCCCCAGGGACAGAGGGTGTGTTAAGATTCATGAGTTGTTCGATGAGTTTTCATTACTTGGTGAGCTGGAGGAAGAGGAGGAGGAGGAGGATGACGAGAAGTTCATCCCTGTGAGTCCTGGGGGGTTTGTGGCAGTGTTTTGTCCACTTAAACTTTTCCGGCAGACGGGACACGTGTCATGCTTTGAGGAGCAGACAAAAACAAAACAAGAAATATGGAAAACTGATTAGAAACACGATACGGGAGCAGCACTCGAGGAACAGGCTGGGATGACACTCCGTCCTCTGATCGAAGGCTGTTCATGGCTCAAGCCTCACAACAGAGGTAGGAAAATATTTACAGAGGGGAGCAGAGGTGCTGCAGGCCCTGGGCACTGCCCCCACACTCACCTGCTCCAGCCATGGGACAATGCAGCCGTCGTGGAACAGGTGATTGCACGGTAACTGCCGCACGTTTTCCCCGACTGTGTAGTCTTCCTTACACACTGGGCACTCCAACCCGGAATCTGCATCGCACAGGGAAAGCCAAGCACAGCTGAGCAATGGAGGAGAGAATGACAGACAAAGCCCCCAACTCAGGACCCATCACTCCCTCCCCTTCCCCGGCACTGCTCCAACCCTGCCGAGAGGAAAGCTTGGTGCTCTGCAGTCACTCCCCCACCACGCCACCTCCCCCTGCCCCGGGTCTGCCTCATCCTTCCCCTCCCTTCTGCTTTTCCATCTGAACTTCTCACAAGTTTGCCACCACAGGGCAAATCCATCCAGCCTGCACTGCTCTTTTTTCTTGTGAGTGTAACAGAGCCACTTCAGCTCTCTCCCGTCTTTGAAATGTTTTAGGCCTTGAAGGTACAAGCAGACAAAATTCAAGTCCCAAGAAAACATTACACAGAGCTTCCAGGGAGCTCTCTCTGCATGACTGCCTGGAGCAGACACATACCTACGTGCTCCTGTGTGATCTGTATGGTGGGGAGGGCCTGGATCTTCTCTTTGTCTGCTGGCGGTGGTCCAGTGTTTTCAAACTGATTCAGTAACTGGAAAAACAACCGGCCAGGCAGGCAGAAGGGAGAGGTGAGCTCAGCAGTACAGAGAATCCAGAGAATGTTTCCTGAGCCAGTGCACTTGGGCCCCGCATCGCCCACACTGCAGACCCCGGTTCCCATTCCTGCCCTCGCAGTCCCTCGCCCCCTGCACCACCACAGGTGCTGCCCCTTCTGCAGCACTGCACAGGAGGATGGAGACTCTGCTAAGTCCCAGTTTTACCTGTGTGATAATCGCATCCAGGCCGTTGGCACCCCAGGCATAGTCCATCGGATTTGAGTGCAGGACTCCCCTGAAGAGCAAGGACAGCAAGTGAGTTCATCCGGGAGCACCACCGAGACACTGCCAGAGAGAGCAGCACATCCTCCAACTCACCAAGGGCCCAGGCCTAGGTTTGGAATTGTGGTTGGTGCAATAATTCCATTGACCAGCTGCTGGATAATTCTGAAAGACAAGAAAACCAGGATTGTGTAAGAATTAGTCTGCTGGCTCCCAGCCCAGCACCCCGACGTGGAGGGAGAGGCTGAATACTGTCACATTGTCAGGGGAAAGAAAAGATTCCCTGTAGCAATTGCAACTGCAGCTTATAGAGTGATAGGCCATGGATAAAGTTTCAGTGTTTGATTCGTAAGGGGACAATTCCTGGCACGAACTGAGTGGCTCCCAGGACGCAGTTACACAAACAGCATCTGGTGCTTTCTGCTGTTTCCCCTCACAGTGAGTACAACACTTTGGCAACGACCAGGGAATATTTTCCCACTGCGGGACAAAGTCCCAGCCACAGGCCATGCCACTGCTCATGTGAAATAGCCCCGACAGACCCCAGGCAGGAGCTGCCAACAGCATCAGGCCCAGCTGGGGCACAGCTGGCACCCAAGGCAGTGCTGGAGAGCTTTGGGACGCTGCTCCCCAACCCGGGGGAAAAGGCACAGGCTGATGTCGAGGTCAGTCCCATCAGTGAGGAACACGATTCTCACC